AATGGTAGAGTAGAAAATATGTATGCAACCTACCGGCGCTGTCTCGAGCTGCGGAGTTGCCCTTAAGTAGGTCGGCGACGTTGCCACGTTGGGAGATCTGCAGCTCCTCTTGAGGCTGAACCTGAGCCCCAGCCACCGTAGAGGCCTGGATCGCCCTCGTGGAGCTGGCGAACACAGGACGAGCACTACGGGGCAGAATTTGAGAGCCGACGTGGAACATGGTGGTCGATTGAGGCAGAAAGCTCAAATTGTTCGGAGAGACTGTACCAGAGGAATCTGCGGCCAGGATCACGGCCCAGTCCAGGGACAACGGCAGATTGCGCTGTACCTTTGCTAGTGATGATGGCCACCTCGCCTGGGTTGCAAAAGAAGGTGGTTGCTCAAGTGAGAGGACAAAACACTAGCGATAAGTATGAGGTCACTTGACGAGACACTGAATCTGAGGACAGTGTACATGTACAAGCTCTAAAGAAATTACAGACCATAGTGAAACCAAGTGTTCTGCCTTGATGACGGCTTGGCAAGATTACGCTGCCCCGATGATGGCCACCCCCTCCGTAACGGAGTCCGTTGCCAAGATGGACGCGCTATGATCACTAGGACCTCACCTTGATGCAGTCTCACTTGCGCAGCTTAAGCAAGAGCGACTTGTTGCCCTTAAGTTTCTTCTGGAGCTGCATGACACCGAACAGCAGGGCTTCGGCAGTCGGAGGACACCCTGGCACGTAGATGTCCACCGGGATGATGCGATTCACACCTCGCACCACGGAGTATGAGTAGTGGTAGTAACCGCCACCGTTCGCGCAGCTTCCCATCGAGATGACGAACTTTGGCTCGGGCATTTGGTCGTAAATGCGACGGAGGGCAGGCGCCATCTTGTTGGTGACGGTGCCAGCGACGATCATGACGTCGGTGCATCGAGGCGACGCACGGAAGAGCAGACCCATACGCTCAAAGTCGTAACGGGAGCCGGCTTTGGGGGTACAGTTAGCTGTGGTGAATTGGACACAGAACCAAGAGGCAGCGTACCGGTGTGCATCATCTCGACGGCGCAGCAGGCCAGTCCAAAGGATAGAGGCCACAAGGAGCTCTTTTTACTCCAGTTCATCAAGTCGTCGAGGCGAGACATGACGTACTCTTCAGACCACAAGGCGTTTGTTAGAAGCGAAGCACAGCTAACACCTTTCCATGGGACGTACCAGCTCCATTTCGCGCTACAGCATTGCCAGCAAGAAGATCTCCGATGTCACCACGTTGCTGAAGCGCAGACTCGCTCGCCACAGTTGAAGTCGTGTGGAAGACACGATCGCAACTAGCGACTCCAGTTGTAGGCGTTGACACGCCACGTCGAAGAAGTTTTGAGCCAGCGCGCAACATGAACTTTAAACCAGCTACCTGGGTTCTCAAGAATGTGCTCTGGTCTCGAGGAGGCTACAGCGGATATGGCCTCAAGGCCTACCAATTTGTAGCCCTCCGTTTACTCGCGACGACGATGATGTCAAGCTACTAGGAACAGGCCAATGAAGTTCGAGCTTGTTTCGTTCAGACAACTCAGCATTGAACTTTCAACGATCCAAGTGATTACTGCATGGAACTCAACATGGTTCATTACCGGTATCTACACCGCGGCCAGGAGGTACGTAATTATGGTAGACACATGTGGTGTAGTGTTCATCCAGATTCATTTTGCTTTTGTCTTCTCTCAACGTTATACAGATGCTCGGTACAGCATTATCTCCCTGAGCCAAGCAAGCCAACGCCGAGTGTCTACTTCCTCAACTTGAGCAACAGCGACTTGTTGCCCTTGACCTTCTTCTGAAGCTGCATGAGACCGAACAGCAGCGCTTCGGCTGTGGGCGGGCAGCCGGGCACGTAGATATCCACGGGGATGACACGGTCCACGCCGCGCACCACAGCGTACGAGTAGTGATAGTAGCCACCACCATTGGCACAACTGCCCATGGAGACCACGTATCGCGGCTCGGGCATCTGGTCGTACACGCGACGCAGAGCCGGCGCCATCTTGTTGGTAAGCGTTCCAGCGACGATCATCACGTCCGTCTGACGCGGCGACGCACGGAACACCATACCCATACGCTCGAAATCGTAACGAGAACCAGCTGCAATGTGGAGATAAGCGTTAGCTTGAGAAGCAGCGAGAAAGAGGACACACGACGTACCGGAGTGCATCATTTCGACGGCGCAGCAGGCCAGACCGAACGTGATGGGCCACAGCGAGCTCTTGCGACCCCAGTTCACCAGATCATCGACGCGGGACACGACGTACTCTATGAGGGGATAATTATTACGGTTAAAAGGCATCTACAGGTCGAGGGATTGTCTGGAGAAGGACGTACCGACGCCGTTGCGGGCAGTGGCGTTGCCGGCCAGCAGCTCCTGGATGTTGCCGCGCTCGGCGGGAGCCGAGGACGTAGAGGTGGCGGGAACCGCCGAGGCGCAGCGGACGGCGGGCGTCCGGGCCAGAGCTCCTGAGCGGCGCACGAGAGACAGCATGGTGGGCTACAGAGGTCGATCGATTCTAGCCGCCCGCTAGGGAGGCCACAACCACCAAAATACCTGTGAAAGACGA